CAGCGACCCAAGAATGGAAAATATGAAGGTGTACTGTGGGCACTCCCAGTCATGCAGAAATAGCCTACCCAAATGTCATCACAGATTACATACTAAAACAGGGAAGACCCAAGAAGTGACTGAGGTGGGACTGATCGATCCAGAACCCCAAACAGCATTAAGCATACAAGGCAAATGGAGAAAACCAGTAGGAAGGACAGGAAGTTGCAGAGCATGTAAAAGAATAAAGGTGACAATATTTCAGAATGAAACAAAAGAGCAACTAAAAAAAAAATTTAAATAGCATGGTAGGTACTCCATGTGATGCTAAAAGTACAGGATTAGCATTAAAAAATGGACCAGTGAAGAAAAAGGTATGACCTTAAGTCCTGTTAGCAGAGGATGGTAAATAAATGGCAGTGTCCCACCCAAGATGATCCAAAAAGTAAAAAAGCCATGTGTGGAGGGAAAGAACTGAAGATGACAAGCGCCCAAACATCGACGGAAGGAGGAGGAGGCATCCCATGAAAATCCCTAAATATAGGTAGAATACTTAAAAAAGAAAGTGGAAGGTAAACATTACCTGTTGGAGAATAGATAGGGTAATATGGATAACAGAGATCCAAAGGACATAAACCAAGAAGAAAATATGCCTGATGGTAAGCTAAGACAAAAAGAATTAAAGCCCATATATGGCAAAACTTGCAATTACCCACACTCAAAAGAGAAACAAATATCATCATGAAATAATGTCAGAAGGGGAATATACTTTGAAATGTGTATAAAACAAACAAAATTTACAATATCTGGGCAATCTGAAACAGGTTCAGCCATTATAGGAAGGTGGGAACTGTTGGGAGCAGGTAGGGTGGACTCCAGCCCCCAGGGACCCAAACAAAGAAAATTAAGCATAAGAAGTATAAAATATAAATTAAACAAAATTATGGTAAGAAATTGTGTAGTGTTTGTTTGTTTTGGAAGTTCGCGCAAAGCTACATAAGGGCTATCTGCGCTAGCCGTCCCTAATTTAGCAGTGTAAGACTAGAAGGAAGGCAGCTAGTCATCACCACCCACCGCCAACTCTTGGGCTACTCTTTTACCAACGAATAGTGGGATTGACCGTCACATTATAACGCCCCCATGGCTGAAAGGGCGAGCATGTTTGGTGGTATGCGGATTCGAACCCGCGACCCTCAGATTGTGAGTCGAGCGCCTTATCCACCTGGCCATGCCGGGCCCAATTGTGTAGTGAAATAAACATGTAATACATGTTATGTGTTGAAGAAAACAAAATAGTTAACCTAACTATCAATTAATCCAGAAATATAACTACAGTTAAATTGAAATTAACAGACACTTATGAAGCCTAAGATAACAAGATATTAAACTTAATTAGTGATTAACCTGTGAGTCGAACTACAGGTAAACTGCAAATAACAAACATGTGTTAAGCCTAGTTAAACAGTGCAGGACAAAGGATATCAATAAGCTTTAAAGTAAAAATCTTTATCTAACAATAAGTATAAACAATATCGGGAGAAGTTAGTGTGGAACCCGGCTCAAGGGTTCCACACAAACCAAGTTAATATGAAGTAGAAAAGATAAATAATAATGAAAATGAAATAAACAGTTTGATATGCTCACAGCCCATATAAACATATATTTTGCTGCAGAAAAGTTGAAATACTCAATGAAACACTTTCATTAGTATCACAGGACACTGGAAACTAGAGAACCTACATAAATATAATGGTAGGTAAGAAATTTTGGAAAAGGGTAAGAAAAAGATTATAGATTGAGCACAATGCAAAAAAACAATAGTTTAACAAAGGATACACAGATACTCGTATTGTAGTTGGCCCTGTCTAGTGTATACACCTACTAATGATATTGTTCATCAGAGATAAATTTTTTTTAACCATAGTACACCCTGCAATACATGAAAGTTGTAACAAGTCAACAGGTGTTATCCTAGCAAAAGCCAGTAAACAAGATGAGCACACACCTGTTATTTACAGTGTGCATACATAGATCTTTGAGACTGACTTAGTTGATGAATGCTACCAGCAACGTGAAGTGATTTGCTGATAACCCATGTTCACTGTTTTTTTGTGTGATTATTTTGATTTGTTTTTTAAAAGTGAAATACAATTTACATAGTTTAACAACTTCATGTGATGTAAAAGGGGGAGGTAGCTACTACTATGAAGTACAGTCAAATGAAAAAGAAGCAAATTCAAGAAATTGCAACAAACTTCAGCACCTGATGAATATAATAATAAAGGCCAGGGAACATAGCCAATCATATTCAAATGCTACTGATGAAGTGTTTGTTTGACAATGAAAGCATAATCTCAATATGAATTCCCATGCAAAACTTATTTTTCTGTAAAACAATTACCCTGATAAACTATATATAAAAGATGCAAGATTCAGATCTTAGATATCAATGCATCACTTTTGTTCATACTTAACGGCAACATTAGTAGGACTAAAGGGCACAAATATAAATTTTAGCAATGTTGGAGTCGTCAGCAAAGACAGTTTTATTCTTCTAACAAGGTGGTTGTCCTCTGGAATGGGTTGTTCTCGGATGATTTGTGGTGACAGTAAATTTAAGCGAGTTTAAGAGAAAGCTTGATAACTATATGAATGATAAGGGCTGGCTTTACGATTTTT